CACCATCTGGAAGTGACTCAGTCCAAGGGGTGGGAAAGAGAGGTAAACCCTGGCACAGACAATTTAAGGCCTTCAAGGAAATGTATCCATGCAAACTGGAGTTGTGACTATAGGTAATTTGCTTTTTTCCCCCCTTTAAACAAAATAATATATAGATCCATGTAAGTGTACTTCACAGTAGTCATCATGAAAAGCTGTTTGTTACAATAATGTGTTCCTGCTTAACACAGCTGGGATCTCCTCCTTGAGAACCACCCTCAGAATGACAGCACATGTTTTTGAAAAACCACAGTGACGGGAAATCATCATCCACTGAAGGTGTTGATTTTTAGAAACAGCCAAAAAACAAAACAAAACAAAACAAAACCCAAACCAAACCAAATGCCAAAAAGCCATCTCTAATCAACCAACAACAATAACAATGGTAGCATTCCTATTATCCTTTCAGAATCAGGCTGGGAAATCGGGGAGTTGGGGAAGGGGTGGCACATGGAGTTGTAACTGAGCGAGACAACGCCATTTTTGTTTAAAACCACTCATGTTCATAAGATGAGACTGCTGCAAACTAAGCTTGGAAGTCCTAACACGGCCCGTAACAATGTGAGTGTTGTTTAAAAATCTTTTATAGAATTTTTGTCAATATTTAAAAGCCATGGGATTTCACATAAAAAAAGTCAGATTTATTACTTCTCTTGAAAAAAAAATAAAAAGATCAGGCACAATTGTTCTTATACAGCAACAATCAGCGAGAGCCTCAGCCTCCCTTTTAGACAGAGCACATGAACCTCAGGCTGGCAGAACCCACCATGCCCTACCATGCCCATCCCGATGGCAGCTGCCATGTAACCTTGTTCTTACGGCCTTTTCACTCACAATAAGAGTAACACAATAACATGGTTCAAAAGTCAAAATAATACACAAAGCTATATAGTGAAAGACTCATTCCTGCCTTATCCCCAACCTCCCTAAATACTTTGGTTAATTTCTTCATTTTTCCTTTTCTTCCTTACACAAGGTAATACAATATATATTTTTCTCTGCCTTGCTTTCTTCACTTAAAATACATATATCCTGGGGATTATTCCAATAATGGTACATAGACAGTTTCCTCAATATTGTTTTACAGCTACCTGGTATCCCATTGGGTGTATAGGTCAGTTTGTTTAACCAGTCCTGTATTGACAGACATGGGCTGTTAAAATCAACCAAGAAATATTGTGCAATGAATATATGCATATGTTATTTCATAGGTGATAAAGTGTTGTGTGGGATAAATTCCCACAAGTGAGATTGCTGGGTCAGAGAAAAAGGTATTTGTGATCTTTTTATGTATTATTGACAAGTTGCCTTCCACATGGGTTGTACCATTTTGCACTCCAAACAGCAATGCAAGAAACAGCATGTCTGTTTCCCATTAGCTTCCTCAACAGAATGTGTTGTCAAACTTTTGCAGATTTGTCATTCTACAAAAGGTAAAAATTATTCAGGGCAGTTGTAATTTCCATTTTTAAATCAAGAAATCTTTTCTCACATGCTTAAGAGACATCTGCATTTCTTTTCCTGAGAACTGATCTGTTTCATTTTCCCATTGGATTCCTATTTCTGTTGCTGATTTTCTAATTATTCTTGTTTTTTTTCTTATCAACTTTTAGGAGCACTATGTACATACATTCAAAAGATTAGCCCTGTTTCTATGAGATGAGCTGGGAATTTTTTTTTTCCAGTTTGTCATTTATCTTTTGGCTTTGTTTATGGTGTGTGTTTCTTTTTTGTTGCTGTTTGCCATACACAAATATTGTTGTTGTTTATGTTTTTTAATGTATTTTTAAAACATTAATAATAAATGTAAGTTTACTTATTTATTGTTTGCTTCTGGCTGTTGAGTTACAGTTTGAAAGACAGGCCTCCACTCCAAGATTAAAAATTAAGTTACTTGTATTTTCTTCTAGTAATTTTAGAGTTTCCTTTTTTAAACATGTGAATCTTTGATCCATTCAGAGCTTGTTAAGGCTCACACTGTGAGAAGTAAAACTTTTTTTCTACTGGGAGCGCAACCCTAGATTTGGGGCAGGATGATAAAGCTACCAGAACATCAGTAAGACTAGACCTGGGAAATGGGGTGAGAGAAAGCAGCTGATGGGAGAAGTGAGAGAGGGCAGGGGCAGGGGTGGGAACTAAACAAAAGCTCACCTCCTGCAGGAAGGAGTTCCTGGCAGATGCGTTCCCATGAGTGGTCTAGTTCAGTGGTTCCCAGGGCCTCTTTTATTGCTCCTCTCCAAAGTACCTACTTACTTTTAAAGGTTTAATATGTTTGGCTGTACCAAACTAACTGTATCTGAGTAATAATTAGTTATGTTGCCCTTTTAACAAAGTCACTTATAGCTGCCAACCAGTCTCTGGTCAGAATGTGCAGCCAGAATTACCATGCTGAGTTGCTGTACTTTCAGCCAAAAGCCCAGAACTTCGAAGTATCTGTCAGCTTGAGGAGGCTCATCCTGGATAAATGAGCCATTTTGCAAGACTTTTTGAAATGCTGACATTAGTCTGCGTACAGCTTATTTCTTTGTTCCTAGGTCTCTAAGGACATGGGACTTCAATGAAGGGACCTCTGAGCTTAACCTCATTCAGTACCTACTGGGTGCTGTACAAAAGGGCAGGGTGAAGGTATAAACTTCAACCATAAGAAGCGTGCATACCGATCGTCATGGTATATACTAAATAGTTTTCTTAGCAACTTTTCTATTAATACTAGAGGCGCCCTAGGGAAGTTCTTTTTAAAAAATTGTTTCCTCGTGTAAATAATTCTCTGTTCTGAGAAAAACAGAGTAAAGATGAGAACAATTTAAAAAGGTGAATGGTGAGAATGTTGCTTAAAAAAAAAAAGTCTTTTGTTTGTAATTAAATTGATTTTTCTGTCTGAAGCAGAGACCACAAGGGGGACCCGGTGAGGGTGAGCGTCAGATGCTGACAGCAGCTCACTCTCATCAGGAAGGCATGCCAACATCCTTCCTGCTGGTGAGTGGGCACCCACCCTCAGGCTGCACCCCTAACAATTAATTCAGAATCTTTGGAGTGGGATCTATGCATCAGCCATGTTTAAAGCTCCCCATATAATTTCAGCATGTAACCACTGCTCTAGAACCGTGCTACTCAAAATGTGGTCCTCAGACCAGCAGCCTTGGTATCAGTGGGAACTTATTAGAAATGCAGAATCTCAGGTTCCAACTTAGACCTTCTGAATCAGAATTGGCATTTTAATAAGATAGCTAAGATATCTGTGTGCACATTAAAGTTAGAGAAGCAGAATAGCATTTCTCAGTGTGGCACCTGGACCCTCTGCATCAAACTCACCAAGGGGTTGGGAAGGTGGGGAAATGGGGGTTAGGGGACTTCTGAAGAAAGCCAGTTCTAGAGATTACAATTCTATGTCTGAGGGTGGGACCCTGGAACCTTCATTTTTAATGTGCTTCCAGGTGATCCCTAAGCCTAGTTAGAGAACTACTCCCAAGAGGAAAGCCAGCAACATGATGGTTGCTTTCTCTGGCCTGCATGGAAATTCCCTCAGTGACTCTAAAAGGTCAAAGCATACCCCATGCAAATGGGGGATGAGTTGGTGATAATCTACAAATGCTTCTCAACCTGACAAATGTGATATTTCCACTCTGACCTGTAATAGAGCAGGTAGCGGTAGTTAAATCTAAAAAAAAACCAAAAAAAAAAAAACCCCTCAAAATGCATAGCAGAGAAACAAGAAAAAGAGCAAATTCCCCTAATGATATTTCTTCATTTTACAGGGGGGTTTTTGAAATTTTTGCTCACATCCATGTTTTTAAATGTTTATGAGTAAAAAAATGAAGCCAGGAGTGCAAAATCTGATCTCTCTCAAAATTTGTGTTTGCAGTGTGTAGTACTTCCATAGTTATAAAAGTATTTCAGCGCATGTAAGATATTTAAAAGCTTCTGTGATAACAGAAGCTTTAAGTGGATTTATTTTTAAATACACGGAATTCCGAAGTATTCTTCACACTTTACTTGAGGTGACAAAACTGAAATCTTTGTAATCCTAAAGTGAAATAAGACCACTGTGGTTGTAATGGATAATAAAATGGAATGGGGAACTGCAATGTGATCTAAATGTAATTGTTAGATAATTATTGAGTTAAAAATCAGGAAAAGCAAAGAAACTTAAAACTTGAAAAAAAGATTTTTGAGGCTTTACTTTAAAGACTGTGTTTAGAGCAATGTTTCTTAAACCTTTTTTGGGGAGTGCAATGGAGCCCTACTGAAAGCTAATAAAAAGCTACCCACTCTCCCGGGGAACCACACACACTGGCATTTTCTGGAGTTCCATAGGCCCCCTGGAGCCCACATCGGAACCTCAGCGTTGACACTGAATTTAAGAAAATTGGTCTATAATGATCTCTCCCATTTGGAACCGCTTTAGGCCTAGGAGCAACTTTCTCAGCTCCAAGGTCCCAGGTGGATGGTAAAATTAGGACTGATTGTTTTCACTTAAACCGAGACAATTAGGTCAGCAATCTCATGGGGATAGGCTGAGGCCAGGTGAAAATCCAGACGATTAGATTACGCCAGAGAAAGAATCCCTTTATTGAACAAGCCTGAGCTCCTTCAGAAATGCTGCTCTCAGGAGACCCAGCCGGTTGCACTGGAGCCTCTGGGGCTCCCTTCATACCAGATGACCTTTGTCCAAAATTAGGAAGGAAAGTAGGCTCTTAAAAACACTGTCCACATCCCTCATTTTCCTATAGACTCAACGACGTCAGGGGTGAAAGACTTACCTCTTTACCCCTCCCCCATTTAACTGATGAGAACACTGACCCCAGAGGGCTAAGGTGCTTGCCAAGGAGACATCCCCAGGGCCTTCTCTCCGCAGCACCTTGCCATCTGGCCAGGGGCGGACAGGGCGTCGGGGGCTCTTTCCCCACACTGCCCGCCGCCCACCCTGGCAGAGGCGCCACGGGGAGCGGAGCCCCGCCTACCGGCACCATGGAGTAGGTCATCATCATCAGCATGTCGTTGCTCTCAGCGCGGATGTGCGGCGCGGTCTCCCCGCGGTGGCTACGCTTGTTACGCGCTGCGCTCGCCGGGTCCGTGGGTGGCGCGGGCGCCTGTCGTGGCGCGCGACTCAGCTCCGCCAGGAAGGCACGCAGAGCGCTGTCCTCGCTCTGCTCCTTGCCCCGCTGCGCCTCCAGCGCCTGCAACGCCGCGCTCAGCCCGCGGCACTGGCACAGAGCAAACACTGTGCCCGCGGCATTGAGCGCCGAGAGCAGCGCCACTGCGGCCAGGGCGCTGCGCAGCCCCCAGCCTGTGCCGCCGCAGCCTTTCTCCGCGCTTCGGGCCATCCTCTGCACGCCGTGGGCCAGCGGGCTGTGCTCGGCCGCCTTCCGCCGGGGCAGCCTTTATACACCGCTGCAAGCCGTGGGCTGGTGGCAGTGCTGTGAGTCACGCCGCCCTTTGGCCCGGCTGGCGGGACGGGTTGGGGACAGTAGCAGTGGCGCCCAAGCCGCCCGGAGGGACAGGTGGGCGGAGAGGGGGAGAGGAGCGAGTGGAGACAGACCTCGGAGGAGGGGCAGGCAGGCCTAATGCTCCGCATGCCCGGCCAAACAAACCAGCAAACCCGCCTCTCCCTCCTTTTCCTGCTGCCCTACCAGTGGGCATTGAGGTGGCCCAGACGCTCAGACGAGGGTCAGTCTGAGGGGGAGAGCAGGAATTATTATGGCGGGAGAAGTCGCTGGATTCCTCCCCCTGTTTCCCCCACACTCCCCTCTCTGTAGAAAAGTATCAGCATGTCCAGATGCCAAGGCACGTGTCCACTGTCCCTGGAAGGTCTACTGCTGCGCCGGGTCCCAGGCTGCCCATCACCTCTCCCCGGATCACAGGACCCCACGTAGGCACTGAAGAGCCCACTCGAGCTTTCCGAGGAAGAGGATGGATAGAGACAGCAAGACAGTTGACATTGGAGGGTTAAAAAGGCCGCTGGTCAGAACCAGAAAAGCCCAACCCTGCCTGGCAAGCAAAGAGTCACCTGTGAAGGGAGATTTCCAGGATTTGACAGGCCAAGAACTCCCCCATGAGACCCATGTCTGGGAGGAGGCAGGGTGATGAGAAAAATTTGAGAGTGGGACTCAGGAGACCTGGTTCCAGCCCCATTCTGCCACTGCCCAGCTGGGAGCCTTTGCGCATGTTCCAAGACAACTCTGGACCGATTCTGATGTGCTGAACTGATTCTGGATGAAGATTTGGGACTGTAGCCAGGCCCCTTCTGGACCTTACTTAGCCTGCCTTCGTTGAGGGGATAGATGCCTCATGCCTCCTAGTTATCCCTTCACAACACTCTCCCTTTCCTGTCAGCTCAGATGCCACGGTCCCCCAAATGCAGAGTTATTTCTCAGCCTCTTTACTCCCTGCCTTTCTCAGCTTTTCCCTGGGAATGACCCTTGCCTCCCCAGGTCCCCAATTATGGGGACATGATGGCTAGGAGAGGAGGGAGGTGATACAGGGAACTTTGTCCAGTCCTCCCAACTCTAACATGCTGTGACTTATTTGAAGATTTACCATGTACCCTTATCTTTTTTCATCCAGGCTTACAATGACAACTGTCAGGCCCAATGGGGAAAAGACACAGAGAGACGGAGTTGGGGTTCGGCCCCAGCAAGATCTTCATTTCATTCACGAAAACTTGTTGAGCACCTAGCGTGTGTTGAACACAATTATGGGTGTTGGAGGTACAGAAATGAACAAGACAAACAGCTTGCGGCATAAGCAGTTGGAGTACCATGGAGCCCCCTGAGTTTCTCTTTATTGTCACACATGACAGTTACTGTTGCCTGACCATCTGTCACCAATGCCCACCATCAACAACAGAGGCTACAGCTCCTGAGGTTAAGGGTCACATTTTGTTTAACTTTGTCTCCCCCAACACCTGGCACAGTTCCTGGCTTGAAATGACCATTCAATAACTACCTGTTGAATGAACAAATGAATGAATGAAAGGCTTGTATGGTGAGGGCATTTCTATGTGAAACTATGTGTGTAGTGGTAGTAGGGCTTAATTATGAAACTCTGCTAATGCCTGAGACCTGGCACCACCTTCCTTGGATGGCTGCCTGTCTAACAGTTGGGAGAGTGAGTGTAGCCTGATACACATACCATATTTCCCCTTGTAAGACGCACCCTGTTTCAAAAAATTTGGGGTCTAAAAACTGGGTGCGTCTTATGCAGTGGTTGTAGATTGTTGTCAAGTCATTTAAGAAGTGTGGCATTTCAAATATCATAAATAGAACTGAGGAAGAGGCAATATATGACAACAGTGATTTGTCATCAGTCACAGATGAGGACAAGCTAATGGCTGGGAGTTTTGACAGTGATGAGGAGTTGTATGAATTTTATGATGAATAAAACTTGAGTTCAATAACTTTATGTAATGCATTTTTTTTCAAATTTTGGGCTCCAAAATTAAGGTGCGTCTTATACATGGGAACATCTTATACATGGGGAAATATGGTACCTCAATCCTCTCTGGTTCAGAGCCCAGAGCCAATAGAAGGAATTGAGTTTCAGTTCCACTTGGAACCAGGCAGGCTCTATCTGACAACATAAGGCCAAGATGCTACTCCTTTTGGGATGTAGGACTCCAAAGGCTTGTGGCATGGATAATATGCTGGGTGGGTGGCGTACCTAAGATAATGCACTGGGACCAAGGGAGGGACAGAAAGAGGGAAAACCCAACCCTTTTCTACCCAACCCTTCTTCCAGTTCCTTCTCCAATTAGTTGTGTGTAGGAATATGTTTTATGCTATTTTGCAAGGAAGGAGATGGTGGGACATGTCGCTGTGACCTACACACAGATTATCTTCACTTATCCTTTACTCCAAAGTATCTGTATCCAAGCAGCTGGCCTTTCTCTGTTCTCTTTCCCCGTTTTCCTCTGTCCTCTCTCTATACCCTCTCTTCACCACACATTGACCTTTTTCCTTCTCTGGCCTATCTCAGGGCTGCCCTTGTTTAAGGTCTAGTTCAGAGCCCCCTTCCTCATCAAGCCTTGCCTTCATNGTACTTATTAGAAAAAAAGTTAGCTATTAATCTGGCCTGTTTTGTTGACATAGAGGGTTCAAGATACAGTGAGGACATGGGGAGGTATCTGAATTTTCTTCCTGGAGACCAAAGTAGCCAAGAACATTGTATGCTATCTTTACAATGGGAAGTAGTTTTTCCATTAAAAGGCAGATGCTCCATTTCCGAAGGTTAAATAGAATGGTCCTTAAAAAATGACTCCAGCTGGTTAACTTTAGGGCCCTGGAGAATGAAATCCAATTCAAGAATATACTCCAACTTTAATTCCACAGCATTTCTCCTGATTGTAATGTGAATACTTTTCATTTGCTCTAAGACCTGGCACTTGGGTATTTTGGTCCTCTGTGATGAGGTTGGCAGCTATGCTGTGATCTCTGATGGCGCTTTACTGCCTACACACCCCCACCCTTCCTCCTTGCCAGTGGTTAGGGAGAAAATCTCTCTAATAGTTGGCATCATGTACATCTCCCACCCAACCACCTCTGGTTTTAACTCCCCATTTTTATGTTTTAATCCCACAAAACTTCAAGCCACCCAACCAAGTCAGCAATTCTCTCTTTTTCTTTGTTCACTCACTCACTCATTCATCTATCCATTCCCTTACCCATTTATTCAACAAGTTGTGTGCTTACTATCTGCCAGGAACTGTGCTAGGAGCTAGGATGAGGATGGAAAGCAAAACCAGACACCACGCCTGCCTTCCTGAAGCCTACAGTCCAGCTGGGAGACAGAGATTAACCAAGTAATCACAGTTGTGGGGGTATAATTCTAAATGAGATGATGAAATAAATGCCCGGAAGGAAAGGAGTGTGATTCTGTGAGATCACATCACTGAGTAACCTGTCCTCGATGTGGGGTATGGGGTCAGGGGAGGCTTGCCTAAGGAGCTGATGGTGTTTGAGTTGGAAGAATATGAGGAGTCACTAGCTGGATGGAGGTGTGAGTCTGAGGGTTGCAGTTAGACAGGTGCAAGACCCTATGGCAGGAGGTACCATAGCTTATTTGAGGGACCAAAAGAAAGCCAATGTGGCTGCAGCATAGAGAGAATAGGGAACAAGGAGGAGAAGGGAATGAAATGAGGCTGGAGACCAAGTTAGGGGCCAGGGTCTCTACGTGGGGCCTCATAGAGTTGGTCTTTGTTGTAAGAGCAACAGGAAGCCAGTGAGGGATTCTACGTGTGTGGCGGGGCTGGGGTGGTGGGGGCAGAAAGGGGGGACTGGGTTGGTGGATGACAGATTTTCATTTTCAAAGATTACTTTTCATTGCCACAATTTTCAGTGGCTCCTGTCACTACAGAAACTATATATGATCTCTGGCCTCTACCAGGCTAAATTTTAGCCTTTATTTATTTATTTAAATGAAATTTTAAAATTATTTTTCAAGTATAGTTGACATTCAATATTATTTTACATTAGTTTCAAGTGTACAGCACAGTGATTATAGACATTTATATAATTTACAAAGAGATCCCCCATAAATCTAGTACCCACTTGGCACCATACAAAATTATTACAATATTATTGATTATGTTCCCTGTGCTGTACTTTACATCCCCAAAACTATTTTGTAACTGCTGACTTGTACTGCTTACTCCCTTCACCATTTTCTCCCAGCCCTTCAACCTCCCTCCCATCTAGCAACCATCAATTTGTTCTCTGTATCTATGAGCCTATTTTTGTTTTGTTTGTTCATTTATTTTGTTCTTATATTCCACATATAAGGGAAATCATGTTCCTTCCTTCTTTCCTTTCTTCTTTCTGTCCTTCCTCCCTCCCTCTCTTCATCCCTCCCCCTTCTTTCAATATTTTTATTAAAAAAATATAGCTAACATACAACATTATATTAGTTTCAAGTGTACACCATAGTTGTTCAACATTTATACACCTAAAAAAGTGACCACTATAGTAAATCCAGCAACCATCTGACACTGTGCTATGCTACCACAGTATTACTGACTATATCCCCCATGCTGTACATTACATCCCCATGACTTACTTGTTTTATACCTGGAAATTTGGACCTCTTATTCCCCTTCATCTTTCCCCCCTTTTAAAGATTTTTCAATTACAGTTAACATTCAATATTATTTTGTATTAATTTCAGGTGTACAGCATAGTGGTTAGATATTTGTATAATTTAAGAAGTGATCTCCTGACTAGTCCAGTACTCACCTGGCATTATATATAGCTATTATCTTATTATTAACTATATTAACTATATTCTCTTTACTTTACTTTTACATCCCCATGCTATTTTGTAACTACCAATGTGTACTTCTTAACCCCATCACCTTTTTCACCTTGTCCCCCAACCCTCCTCTCATCTATCACTCTGATAAACCTAGTACTCATCTAACATCATACATAGTTATTACAGTACTATTGACTATATGCTATACCCTGCATTCCCATGACTACTCTGTAACAGTCAATTTGTACTTCTTAATCTCTTCCCATTTTTCACCTACCTCTTCAACCCCCCTCCCATCTGGCAACCATCAAAATATTCTTTGTATCTATGAGTGTGTTTGTTTTGTTTATTTGTTTATTTTGTTTTTTAGATTCCACATATAAGCTAAATCACATTGCATCTGTCTTTCTCGGTCTGACACACTCCATTCAGCACAATACCCTCCAGGTCCATCCATGCTGTTGTAGATACTAAGAACCCATTCTCTTTCATAGCTAAGCAATAGTCCATTGTATGTATGTACTACGTCTTCTTTATCCATCCATCCATCCATCCATCCATCCATCCACAGACACCCAGGATACCTCCACATCTTGGACATTAGAAAATAATGCTGCAATGAACATAAGGATGCACACGTCCCCTTGAAGTAGCATTTTGGGTTTCTTTGGATAAATACTCAGAAGTGGGATTACTGGGTCCTTCTTTGTCTCTTGTTATAGGCTTTGTTTTAACGTCTGTTTTGTCTGTTATAAGTATTTGCTACCCCAGCTTTTTCTTTTCTTTTTCCATTTCCATTTTCATGAAATAACTTTTTCCATCTGTTTACTTTTGGTCTGTGTGCATCTTTCAATCTGAAGCGAGTCTCTTGTAGGCAGCATATGTAAGGGTTTTGTTTTCTTATCCATTCAGCCACCCTATGTTTTTGATTGGAGCATTAAATGCATTTACATTGAAAGTAATTATTGATAGATGTGTAGTTATTGTCATTTTATTATTTGGGTGTGCCACTTGTGGGGCTAACTGGGTGGTGCTCTGCTGTGGTCTGAAGCCAATCTCCAAGTATGTTGGTTCTGGGGCCTTTTGGGGGGTGGCTCTGGTGCAGGCCCAGGTCAGCCACTGCCTGTGGAGAGTACCTGGTAGGAGCTACAAAGTGATCTACAGTTAGTCACTGCCTGTGCTGGACCTGGGAGAGGCCATATTGAGAACTGAGGACACCTGCCATCAGTACTGGGTTTGGGATAGCTCCACAAAAAGCCAGGACACTCTGAAGCTCTCTGCTACCTGCCGGCTCCCATAAAGCCAGATGCTGATAAAGCCTCCTGT